TTCATAACTGGATGCAGATCCGCGATGGGCTGTCAATCATCCCCCTCCCGACTTCTGCCAGGGAAGAACAGAGCATCCATTTATCAGACACTCGGAAGCAAAGCAGCAGCTGATCAAACGTGCATTTTTATAAGAGGACATCATCTTGGGATGCCTGGGATAACTGGAGACTGTCAGTAAAGGTGCTTTCAAAACACCTACTCAACAGCTCACCAAGCTCCTTTTGAACAAAAAGTGATAGAAAAAAAATCTTCCTGTAGCTGAGAGCCATCAGACACATGCCTAAAATCTGACAAAACAGAGAGGCAGCCTGCTTATTAAAGGTAATTTAATGGAAAAGATACACACTAACATTGAATAAATCATTATACTTTGTCCAAACAGAAAAAGCAAAACTTTGGAGAATGACGCTTTAAACACTCTTGCTTTCCGTCCTGGTATTCATTGAGTTTTATAGGGATCTCATCAGTATGTAATTCTATTTGCAGATGTCACTTTCAACTTGCGCTTTGCTAGACAGCTTTACTAATTAATCAGAAGGAAATCTCCAAGTTAATTTGTTAACTTGAAAAGCACTGAACTCTGCTGTACCCATCAACAACCAAAAGTAGAATGGAACAAACCAGACCAACAAAGTGCTGATAAAAAACCCCACATTATCTTAATTACTGCAATATACCCTTACTAGGCAGGCACAGGGATCCCGTCTGAGAGTGATTTAGAACTTCTTTCCCTAATAGTATTAGGAAACTGATAATCGTAAGTCTCATACGTTAATGCAATTCTTAACAGTTTCAAGAGTATAATCATCAACATCTCCTCTTATTGCAAACCATACAGCTAAAACCAGACGCTTCTACTGAATATTACAAAGAAAATGAGCTGCACCTGCTGATGGTTATGATTCCTACTGAAGTTGTAATGCTTTAAAACCAAAAAAAATCAAATACTTGCCAACTGATGCTTTGCTTCAATTTTCATAGTTACCACAGAGGGTAACTGTGAAGACTGAACTTCTTTTTTGTTAATAATTTGGAAACGCTGACTTACAGAAGTGGTACGCATTGTAGTTCACCGGGTTCAACACATGAAAACACCCACATGATGACATTGTGGTTTATATTTCTGAGACAAAAATAAGTTCTTCAATAATAATTTACTTCCTTTTAAACCACTCGTCTGCCTTAAACGTTGTCCCAAACCTGTATACGTTTGCTCAAATGAAGCAAGCTATCCATGAACACATTGCCTATCTGTGAGAAGAGAGGGACCTCCGAGTGCAGGTCCCAGCCCCTTCCAAAAGCACAGCTTCTTACAGCTCCTCCTACAGACCCACAGCAGCCCCCAAACTGCTCTGCCCAAAAGCCCTGTGGCAGGGGGGAGCCCCTCGGACAGGTCCCCATCCGACCGATCCTGCTCCCTCCCGCTGGGACACGCTCGGGGGTGCACCTCCTCCTGCTGGGACGGAGGAAGAGATCTGCTCTGGAGCCCTTACACCTGCGGTCTGGAGGAGCATACGACCCAGCCCAGTAAAGTTATTGGTAAGTATGAGGCGTACGTAACCCTAAGTCTAACACAATTTAAATGCAGCTGTAAAACTAGTTCACTGCTTATTTTGGGCACAGCAGAGGAAAGGTGTTGGAAATGAAGCTGTCAGTCTGTGCAGAGGAGCTGTAGGAGATGGAGAGAGAAAAGGAAAAAGGCAGAGAGACACAGATGAGAAGGAGGGAAGAGAAGGGGAGAGTGAGAGAGAAAAGGAAAAAGGCAGACAGACACAGATGAGAAGGAGGGAAGAGAAGGGGAGAGTGGGGCGGGGGGGGGGGGAGAAAAAAAAAAGAAAAGAAATAATAATCCAAAATGAGATTAGTCTTAAAAGAGCTGTGCATGTTTTCCTGTGCTGAAAAAGACAAGAAGCAACTGAGCAAACAGTAATCACTTATTTGATTGCCAGCTGTGGGTAAAGACGAGCCATATTCCTTTTCAGTAACCCTCCACTGGAAACTGGTGACAGAACTGCTGTTGAAAGAGGAAATAACGGATGCCCAAACGGCACACCCCTCCACAGCCCACGCATACCACACCATTCGGCGCTCTCTATGCAGAAAATTTCACATGCGAAGGAATCTCTATGTGCTCCTTCATACTGCAATTACCCCCAGGCAGTTGTTGAATATCACTTTTCGCGCACAAGCCAGATGTGAGCTCCATCCCTGTCATTCCAGCAGTCAACATTTTTGCACCGTACTTTTTCTGAAGACACAAAGTAAATATTTAGTGTACAATCACTAGCTTTCCTGATTGCTGTCCTGGGGCATTTTCTATGGCTGAAGACGACCACAGAGATCATTTAGTTACAACCGTGCACATGGAAAGGGTTTCTCAGCCACAGCAGATGGAGTAATGAAGCTGGCAAGAACAAATTGTAAATCATTAAATTATAAATTAACAAGAAGACTTAAGGAGTAAATATTTAGAAAAGCTCACTGAAGCCTTACGGATAGGAGCATCGTGACCAATTATTCCAGTGATCATTTAAACATGGAGTTAGGAAAGATTAGAAACAACAGAAAAATAAATCTCACCAATTACATGCATAAATGCAGATTAATGCCATATGTGTAGCTACAATACGAATAGTCAATGCAATTATTAAAGCGTTAATGAAATAGTCACAGACAATCTGATTTTCATTTTTAAATAACCAGCTGCAGAAATGTAAAGCTGCAAATTTTTTTCTTTAACTTCGTAATTCAGGAGTAAATGGTGATTTGTTCAGAGTGTAGAAAGTACCACTGAAGTTAAAGGGCAGGACAACTGATTAAAGAATTGGAAACAGCATTAGAAAACGAAATTCAATGAGCAAACGCAGAATGTCCAAATGACAGAAGAAGTTCTTAAAGACAAACAAGCAGAAAAAAAAGAAAGAAAAAGAAAAGGAAATAAACATTGGGAAACTAAATAAACAATGAAATTGTTACTTCGGCGTACAGGAATTTTTTTCGTTTTCATTGTGTGCTCAAGATTTCATTTTGCACCTATGAAAGTACTGTCAGTTATTCATAAAAGAATAACAAATTGTTTATAACGTTGTAGATGCACAAAGGAATTAATCCATTAATGCAAAAGGATTACTTAAGATCATTTCCATGCTTATATAATTTCTCATAATTTGTTTCAAAAAGGAACTTCTACCGCATCTTATTTGTTGTTATTCAGGACAGCAGAATTGCTGGAGGGCACAGCAAGAGCTGAAGAGCAGGCAGTTAACACAAAAAGCAAAAACCACAGCAGAAACTCTAGCCAAAATCTCAGCCCTCTGAGTCTTCCTCTGACGGCAGAGAATGCAGATGGTGGCAGACAGAAATCTCCACTGCACAGGCTTCAGCTAACAAGCACACAGAATACAGGCGATCTGGCAATGTGAAATTTCAACTCAGGTAAGAGGTAAGCCCGCTCCAGACAGTGGTTAGAGGCAGCTAGTGGAGAGAGATCCCCCTCCAACCTCTTACTTCCACTTGTTAACATTAAGAACAAAAATTCTGGGAATTTGGATTACATCCATCACTGACATAGAATTGCAGGTCACTGTACTGTACCTCAGACGTAAAATAAGGCTAATAAATTCTTATTTTGTAGAGCTTTTAGAGGGACTTGAGTAGCAAGTCTGTTTAAAACAACAGTGATCTAGATCTGTAAAACAACAGTGATCTAGACCAAAAGAGCCACAATGCAGATGTGACTGTCGTAACACACAGTTTTGCCTTTATATTCCCACACCAGATTATATGTCTATTTTCTTAGCAGAAAGGAAGTAAGGCGAATACCTCTGCCATTCAACAGTGCAGACGTAGGGTATTTTTGAAACATTGGCTATTTCGAAATTACCCTGAGTCATGAAATGTTGCACTGTACCGTACTGTTTTCTTTTGAAATTATCTATTACGTGGGTATCGCGAATCACCATATTCACGTACGCAGCTGACTAACTTGACAGCATACGGAGCATTTTATTCATTCTAGCTCTCATATGGATTCTTAAATGAGCAGATAGCTAATTTCAAAGTTGAACATTTTATCATTTTCAACCCATTCTCCCCTTGCCTCCCCCTCCTACAGTACAGCTTGAGGGCCATCTCAATTAATCCAGAGATCTGCCACTGTTTTACTTGATTAATTCGACCATGGGCTGTACTGTCAACAAGAAAAACTGTATCACTAGCTTGCAGCTAACCAGTGAGGATACCAGGGACCATCTTGTTAACCAAAGACCACACAGTAGCCCAAAAGATCTTTATCCTAGAAACAAAATATTTCAAAAGCTCCTCAAATTGGCAGGCTCTTGGGGTGAAGAGGAAGAAGTTTCTAACAACCACTATCCTTGGGTGACAAGTTCATTTTAATGCAACATTTAAAGAAACGAGGATGTCCTGCGCGGCTGTTAGAGTGTCCTTAGAGACACCGTTTTCAGGCACTCTGTGCAATCATCCCTCTGCTCCCTCTTAATTCTAGTCAACACCAGCCACCGGCAAGTTACATAGCTGGGACTTTACCAACATGAATAAGGAGCCTATAATAGCACCCATAAACCGAGTGATTTTTTTTTTTTTTTCTGTTGCCAGTATCATATATAAATATGAAACAGCTAAGAATCTGGCACTTTTCTCTTACTGATTAAAAAGTATCTCCACATTTTGCTAATCAAATTAAAACAACATAAACTTATAAAGCACTGAGCTAATTTTAGACCTAAATACTGATGAGATCTGTGGTTGTTCCTGTTAACCTGTCAGTGGCCATGATCTCCACGGCATTCGTAATGCTTTACCGTTCGCAAATTTAGGCAACTTATCCTCTTGTGAAATCTACTAAAACACTGGATAAAAGACAGATCTTGCAAAATATTTCATGAGCTATAAATTAAAGAGAAGGCCATCAGGCAGAAATTTTAAGTCTTATTCCTTTTAGAAAAACAATGAATTCAAGACCCGTGGTCTACAAACCTGGCCATCTGCTTATACGCTTCTTCAGCCACTGCAAAGATATGTGGATCCATGTCCCCCATATTTTGGCCACTGTACGCATTGATGATATCTTCGCCATAGATAGGCAGCTGTTCATAAGGATTTATGGCCACTAAGACGATACCTACAAAGGAAATGAAACAAAAGGAATTTTTAATACTTGTTTCAAAATAAAACAAACCAAAAAATGGCTTTAACACCAACTATTGTTCTAAAGTTTCTAAAAAGACTAACTAGAGAAGAATAAGGATCTGATACGACTGACTTCAACAGATGTTTATTCTGACCACAGTTTTGCATACAAAAAGTGTCAGAAGAGTTTACTTCTACCCTGCTTTAGGAGACACATCAGGGACAACTTTTTACTTTTTCTCTCTATCTGCCTTTCCTAAGCTAGCATGCACGAAACAACCAGGTTCAGAGTGTGCTGACTTGAAATACAGCCTGCTCTGTGCCTTAAACCAATGAACGTGCATTGTACTTGCCTGGGTTTTACTGTGAATTACAAATGATAATGTGATTTGTGAATTGTAACTACTACGTGGCCTCGCTGACTGTCAGTTTGGATATGTGAAGTGTGTTAACCCTTCAGCCATTATGCTGTGCCCAGGAGTAACATCTTCAGTTTTTGTAACAAGCAATAAAGTCGAGTCATGGTGTAATCTGGATTCCAGGGCATCTCTACCAGTCAGGCAGGACAACCTCCTGCTCAAAGGGGTCAAAAATAAATACATGTAGACATATTTCATAGGGCTGATACACAGCAGTACACAGTCATGTCAGGAAATTAAGTAATTACAACTCTAGAAGGCACCATAAAACCCTCATCTTGTACATCTGTGTGTATAACTACTTACACTTTCCATTTTCTAGTTTTTCCATCCCAATTAAACACGTATCTGCCTTTTTTAATACCACTCATTACTACAGCATTTCTAAACTCACGCCATCCTTTTACTCTCCCCGCACGAGAAACCTTAGTCTTACTCCATAGAACCTTCCTAGCCACAAAGTGAGATCTCAAATGCTTTTGGTATGATTTTCTTTTTCATGAGAAACGAGGATTGCTCTGCCCACAGGGATGATTTGACGAAGATTACTTATACCTTTCTCTCCTGCAGCATTTACAATGGGTAGGGAACATTTATTTGCTCCGTGCAGGGGTGAAAACACTGGTCAACTGCCACATGAGACCCAGCCATGTCAGGCAAACTGTGTTCTCTTGACATGGCAATTCCTCCTCACCTTGACAATGTGGTAAGGGGGGGGGGGGAAAGAAACTCTAATTTTAACCGTGGCCATTTTAAATATAGCATTTCTTCCTACATATATATTTTGGTGCCTAAAAGCGACAACGCAGGTGCAGATGGCTGCATAGCGACTATAGGAAGCATGCTACATACGGTCCTTGGACAAACCATCCCTGAAGAACCTGCGCCAGAAGCATCTCCATAGCACTCAATTCGCTTCTAAATTTACTCAGAAATTCACACCCACGCACACACACTTCCTCAGTGCAGATCCCAGCCCTCTGCTCCGCGCAGATTACAGCGTTGTGATGTCTGTCTAAGAAATTTTCCATGGAAAAGCTGGGAGAAGAGAAGTGAAAGCGTCTATAGTCTGGCACTGCTGCTGGGAGCATCATCCCATTTTTAAATCCTGTCCTGCGTTTATAGATCAAGCACAAACCATAGCAAAAACATTAAACAACAGAATATCTTCCACGAAGAGATCTGAGAGACCTCGATTTCCTCGAATATATGGCAAGTTTTATGGCTAGACATGCCCATGTAAGTAGAGACGGTGTTTTTCCATCGGCCATGACTTCACTGAAATGACTCAGGAGCTCAAGTGAAAAGTCTCTATAAAAATTTATGCCAAGTTCTAACGCTTTAGTGATGAGCCAAAAAATAAGAGGGGGGTTAGGGAGGGGAAGGGACCTCGGTACTAGCAGACTCGAGGAATATTTTCGGTGTCGGTTTTTAACATCTGCCCTTTGTAATGTGAAAAAGTAGTAAAAAGTTAAGTAAGGCCGCGCCGCCGAGTCGAGCCTCCCAGGCTTGCAAGTCTAATCAAAGAGACATTAAAAAAAAGCTGTATGAGGCTTCAGACAATTCCCTCCTGCTTCTGGCTACACTGGCAAAAATACACCCTTCAATTCAAAACAAGCAGCCCCATGACAAGTCTCCAGCATACTAAATCATTTAACTTCAGTAGTGATCCATAAAATCAACAAGCAACTGCCATCTGGAAATATCCAAAACAACTGAGTTAGGAATTATATGCTTTCTATGGAACTTTTAAATCAGCCTGTCTCACAGGACTATAATCCAGATTAATTTATATATAACTTCTCTTTATCTCCACTAAATCATATTGCTGTTTTAAGAAATATCACGGGCCTTCCCAAATCAGATTTAGGTGTGCTTTTGTTCCTACAATTACGCTAAATTAAACTCTGGCTACTCTTTTTGCCATTCTTAGCTAATTCTTTTATCTTGAATGTATTCACCCATCTGTGGACAAACTGGACATTAATATAAATAATTTCTTAATTTAAATTAAAGTTTGCTCTCCTGCATAGCAGGCAGTACTTTATACATCTGAACTAACCAGCAGCATTCACTGAGTCTTCATCACAGCCATAGCAGTTTTTCCATGTAAGCATTCAAATTTTCCTTTGTAACTTTTCAACTTCCTTCATTAATTCTTCATTTCATATTCCCAACAGTAAAGCAAAGTTCTAAATCACCTCTGAATTGCTGGTGAAAGGCTGACTTGAAATTAAGAAATCGGGAGGCTTGCTGTTTAAAAGTTTGGATTACTTCAAAGTGAAATTTTAAAGAATTTAATACCCATTTGACATATCACACTAAGGACAGCATGGTTGAATTAATTTCTAGTACAGTGGACATCCATCCGTCCCAGTTCTAGTTCTGATGGTTGAGAACAATGTTACCATAATTCTCTTGGTGGATTAAAGTGTTTTTAATCTACTTCGGGCTAAATCAGCTGGGTTAGCTCAAACCACCTTCACGGGGTGTTTAAACTAACCTGGCTAATGTGTGAATCGACGGGAACTGATAGAGCGGTTTGAAAGGTGAACGTCCGTGGCCAAAGGATCAGGTTTTTAAAGGCCAACACGCCAACATTATTTTCCTTAGCTTATAACATACATACGCCTACATCCCAAGCTAATAAATCCACAGCATACTGTATTCCTCAGGTCACCAGCGAGCGTTAAACCTCCTTCACCCGCACTGTGACCACCGGGGACCCCCACGCTACGGGACCCACACGTTTCTAATAAACCCACGCGCAGTACCCAGAATCATCACTTGAGACTTGTTTGGAAGCAAAACAGCCGACCAAGCTCCGCCATCCCAGGCCCTTTGGCAGACCCGTTCCATGAAGAGCTAAAAGCCTTCCAGCCCTATGAGAAACCATAAACCAGCCAAACCCACAACTAAATCTGCACCAGGGAAAACATGAAAACAACACATTTTCCCAAACACAGCAAAACAAAACGAGCGTACAGCACATTCCTTGTGAAAGGCTCTTAAATGATGCTAAGCACAGAGCATGTTTGCAAGCAGCCAAAACACAAACCGGGCAGGCTGTCTTATGGGAGGGGGATGGTGGTATCACTACGCACGGGACCACGAAACTCAGGCTGAAAACCCCTTACAAGCTCAGGCCGTGAGACTCCAGTTGCAGAAAAGCCCTTTCACAAAACGTTCCCCCATCAAGAGCTTTGCCGTGGGGGCACTAGGAACAGAAACACAGGCGATGTCTAAACTGGGGGAACTGAGGTGGTTTCCGAGTGCCGGGACCGGAACGTGCACCCTCAGCAGGGGTTGCCCAGAGAGGCTGCGGTATCTCCATCACTGGAGATACTCAAACACTCAGATACTTTGACTGGCCCAAGCCCTGAGCAACCTGATCTAGTCAGACCTGTTTTAAGTAGGGAGCTCCACTGAAGACTTCGAGAGGTGCCTTCCAACCTAAATTATTCTGTGCCTTTAGTCATGCTCTGGCTGCATGATGGGATGAGACGTGGGTATGAATCATCTCCCACTCCTACGGGAATGAAGGCTGGCTGCAAGCAGAGGGAGGCAATGTCTGATTCAGTCCCCCGTAGTCTGGACACTGCTGAGAGCAGGACTGGGAGCAGATGCACTCTGCCGAGCATCCGCAGATTACGAATAGCCAGAGCGAGCACAATGTGGCAGGACATTAATGCCTGCAGTCTGCCCACCACAACATGTTTAACGTGCTGGTTGCCTTAGCTCTCCATACCCATCACCACGGGTGGAGCTGTAACAGTGACCAGAAGAGGGAAAATCTGACCCTTGGCGTACTCCATATGCAGACCAGGACAGGACAAGGCCTTCAGCTGCAAAACACAAATTCCTGCTTCAGACACCTGCAGTCATGGTTAGGCGATATCTGTCAAGGGCCACCTTGCAACATGACTTCCCTACTCTACAGTTTGCGAAGTAGCGCAAAGTACAATGGAATTATAAACAGCAAGTCTAATACATGATGACATCAAGAAGGCTCGATATACCCTGGCATGCGATACCCAGAACTGGGACTGCCCTACAGAAGTCTGATTAAAGACAAAGTCAAATTGCATATTTAAAAAGAAATCATGGGGCATGTTTTCTGCTGGCATAAACTGAGCTACAATGAATATGCAAATGATAATTTGACTACACCTACTGGAAGAATGAGTTTTTGCCTTAATCAGACAATTATGAGAAGGAAATTTTCAATATCTGGTTTCTAGCAATCACATATCATCATATCATTATTTGTTTTACTCAGCTTAAAATGTAAAAAATCCACCAATGACTTAAACTGTTTCTTATGCACTAACACAATATCCAAAGTACATATTTGAATATTTGAAAAAATAACGTTTTTTTATATTGAAAGGTTATATTAAAAGTTAGCAATATATTTTGACTAAACACTGAGATTTAAAAGAAACACATGCACATACAGAAAAAAGCCCAGAAGCATGAAATATAAATTTTAAGCCTAAACTATCTCACAATGTTTCTTTAAAATAGACCACTCGGCTGCAATTTAGAACCTATGATGAAGTGATCATTAAAGTAACTTCCCCCATTCTGGCCATCTGAATATATCACAGGCAATTACAACTTCGGGTAACCTCTACTGTGAGTTCAATGGTATTTTTAAAACCAAGATTGCTCATAATCGTGAACGGACAAGCATTGGCTCACGCACTGTTACAAATTCAGTCCTGTAGTGGCACTGATTGGAAAACAATAAAAAGAAAATAAACTGGTATTTTCCGTACAGAGAAAGAGGAGCTCAAGGCAGAGGTAGGCAACAAATCCACCAAACAGCACGGGTAGCCTCCTGCATCTGCGCCGTGCGAAGCTCTCCTCCAGCCCACGCCTATCTCAGCAAGCCTAAGGGGAACACCAACCAGCCAGCAATCTCACCGGCAAGCTAAAATTGCCGAATACACATTTTATAAACAGAGTCCGCTGGGAAGCTAGAGGGATACAAAGCGAAGTCAATTTTCTCTGAACCTTAATACTGTCAAGTCTATTTGATGCGCTTAATGACCACAAACACCGGGACTTTCATAAGAACAGCCCAACACGTCCTATCATTAAATTATTTTAAGTTAAAAGCACGCATATCAATAATCAACTTTCCTTTTCCTGACTACAGCATTCTCTGTAAAGATTATGGTATGAAAAGACTGTACTTGCCACAATAGGTATAGATTAGTTTGGAGTCTATAAATCGAACTTTGAGGTTGTGTAAAACAGCAGGTTCATGGAGATAACTGAGCGCTGTGAGGTCATTTTCACCAACAAGTATGTCAGGGTTTCGCAAGGGCGGGAGTTCCTTGGTCTTCGGGTCTAGGCAATATTCTAGGTCCTGAAAATCAAACGGAAACGCATGCTGAAAGAGCTGGTGCTTAGGTTTCCTCATTCAGTCCCTCCAACCATTCTTCCCAGCAAAACATACCCAAGTTACAAAAACACAATGCAAGATTTAAATTATCTGGTGATTTGAGGGAGCAGTTCCTTCTCCAAAAACATCATTTAAAATTTCCCAAAAGGGTTTTCTATATGCAACTGGCAACCATAAAGAGATGCCATCTTTTTAAACTACTACTTAAGCAAACCCCTTTCTTTTGCTGCCAAATCTTTTTATTAAATAAAACAAAATGTTATATCATAAATCTAACTAGTTTTTCGTATTATTTTCCTCGAGCTGACAGACAGAGGAAGCAGATTCCCATCAGCCTATAGCCAACTTCATACACAGTAACATGACACAAGAACGTTGGCAGAACGCCGTGAAGAACACATGAACTGAAAAAAAATGCTACTTAGAATTTTTGCAAATATAAATTAATCTCTAATGTAGATGTTTTAATTGCATCTGTCTCCAGATCTAAAATTACTTTATTTACATGCTGTCTTCTTGTCCCCACACAATGTGACTTAATTGGCAAACACCCCCACTCTGCTACATGCAATACTCAAGTGTGCAGCATCACCACACAGCCCGGAATATGGGGGGGATTAATCTTGTCACATTAAAAAGGTTGTACTCAGCTTGCCATATAAGAAATGTGAGTGAGTCAAAGACTGAAATGCATTCAAGTGAAATATTTTATTTAGAAGCTATTCTGTATATATAATCTGTTCTTTTTACTTCATGGCTATGTAGGTCTCTACAAGAAAGTAGGATCTAAGCTGGCCACTGGTAAGAAGAAATAAAAAAAAAATATTTGGCCAACTGCAGTAGATCTTTATCTTCCATGAGAAGATTTGAGGGATCACCATCATTATATATTAAAATTAAATAACCGTTTAAATGGCGTGAAAAAAATGAACAGGCCTTCACTTGAAGGATGTGAGCTTTTCGCAGACATGTCATCTTTTCTCTACACTGTATACAGCATCATCTTTGTAATGCTCTTAATCCTCGCCCCTTTTTATCTTTATTAATCTTCTGACGGTTATGCTCAACTTAAAAGTCACAATTCTTTCTCTGCAACACTGCTCTCCTAGCAACACTGTTCTCACTGGAATATCAAACCAGGGTTATAGCTTTAACGGCATAAGTAGAAAAAGATGATGCAACCAAATGTAACAGGCAGTTGGATAAAAGCAGCACGTGTTTTATTTTTTAAAATCAGGCAAAATAGATTTTTGTAAATAAACAGTATAATTTGTCACACAAAAAAATACTACTCGAAGCCGGTGGACAAGAATAATTGCACATAAATACGGATATATTTTGACAGTACAGCTTCCTGTGTTAGATACATCAGTCTCCGGTCAAGAGCAAGAACAATCAGCTTATGAACAATACGTAGACCTACCTTGCCCTCTTCAAGTCGAAGTTGGAGGACCTTATCTCCAGGTTTATAATCTTTGAGAAGTTCTGCTGACTTCCAGACCTCCTCTGGATCAGGGATCCAAACCCTGGCATACTGCAATACAAAAACAACCGCAAAAGATCAGTGACTTTTTGTTGCAATATGGTTAAATCACCAATATACCTGACATCAAAACCTTTTTTTTTTCTTTTGTAAAAAACATGTTTAACAGCCAAACCCTTAGGCAAGAGACAAGTTAATTAGTACATCTGAGGTGAGTTAAGTTGTTCCATCTATTGATAAAAGGCTACACAAGCTTAATTTTATTGCCTACATGGAAAGAAAAGGGCGTTTTCCATGCAAAATAATGTTCCAAGGTACACATTCAATGCGGAAAATCTACAAAGAAAAAAAATTGTGTTTTCAGAGAGATCAAAAACTTGGCTATCAAAAAAATTACTTGGAGAAACTCTTCTGAGCAGATTCTAAATGCATTTGCAATATAACATTATATAGCTTTTTCTTCCCTAAGAGAACACTTTGGCACATCCATGTTAATTCAGTCAAAGCTACCTGATCTGAAGTATTAAAAGCTCTTTCCTTTGTAGTTGCAAATAGGGAAAGTTTAAAATGGATTATCTCCAGAATGCCAAAAGAAAAAATCTGAAAAGCTTTGGTTGAAAAGGCCTCCAAATCACAGGAAAAAAAACAAACCAGCATTCCAGTTAATGACCATTTTCACTCAAACTTTACTCACAAAAGTAACCCAGAACAAACATATGACTTGTTTTCAAAAACATTTATGAATATAAAGAATATTCATATTTTTAAATGAGTGAAGATATAATGGTTATCTCATATTCAAGAATCAATTAAAGGTGTATGGAAACCGTCTAGTTACTTATACAGTTGCATGTACATGCAAATATGTATATATGAAAACAGCTCTTGAGTTTCACGAGGAAAAGGCTACGACATTTTTAACATATTAAAGCTTCTGAACAGATGATCTTGCAATACCTAGAGAGCACCGAGATCATCCCAGACCCATCCCCTTTGCAAACAAAACAGCTTCTTGGCTTTACAGGTGCAGCCATGTTGCAAAACATTCTCCATCCACTAAATTATTTCAAAATAACTGCAATGTATTTGTCAAAGCACGGCATTTGATGGCAGAGAAAACTGCATTGGGTCATACAGCTTCATCACCTAATCTTACACAACTTATTTTTGCATAGATCTTCTGCCTCAAAGAATGCTGAAGCTTCCCCCCCCCCCCCTTATTAACCCAGTTTTCCCACTACTTAAAATGACGAACTTCTTGTTTCTACTAGGGATTTTTTGAAAGACCAAACTTCACACTGCCTTCTTGTTGCAAGGCAGGAACCGATAAAACGTGTTCAGCAAAAGCGGCGGGTTGGGGAGTGAGACCCGAGGAGCCCCAGCCCTGGCCCAGGAGAGGCACACGCACCCTGCCCGGCTGGAGGCTGCCAGGGAGGCTCAGTGCCTGGAATTATTTCACAAAGCAATTTGCTTCCCATACCCAGGATGCTTCTCAAGAACAGTGCACGCGAGTAATTCGCAACAGCCTAAATCGGTGGCTTTTACCCTTAACACACTGCAGCCTTTAAAGCACTGCCGCTGCCTTCATCTAGAAAGCTCCCAAACTCCTGAAAAGCTTACGCCACCCATGTAAACCAATTCTCTCTACCGAGTGAAAGGAGAAAAACAATGAAATAAAGAATTAAATTCACTTTCATTGTTCCCGCTACAGAATATGTTATGCTCCCACACCTGGTCTTTCTTCATCTTCACTGGATGTTCATGCCAGCCCTAGGAATCTGCTTTACACAAAGACAAGAAACTTTGTTCTTTGTAGAAAGTACGTGGTTGTGGGGTTTTTTTCTTTGAGCTTTATTAGTTTCATCCATATTTGCTATTGTTTTCAGTACAAAAGTGCAGTATTACTTTATTATTTACATACCCTCTTCCCCACCCCCCCAAAAGATATGAATATTGATTAATTATTTGAAAAATGAAAGATCCCCAAAACAATTCTTCAGCACGGGCTCTTGCCGTTGGCAGAGCACGGCCCGTAACAGCAGTGGAGGCCAACAAAAAGGCAGTGAGCTGCCAGGAAACCAGCAGCGGGAGCCACGGTTTGGGTGCTTGGATTATTTGTTGGGTTTCAGCCCTGCCGCATCCACAACTCGCAGGCTAAGAAACGTCGTTTGAGTTAAAATGAAGGTGTGTGCTAACAAGTGCATGTGCCAATGCAAGTACAAACCTACAGAAACTACAGAATAATTCCAAAATAATTAACCAGGACGTGACAATAGAGGTGCGGTATCAGAGTCAAGCAGTGCAGTCAGGAGCAATGTCTTCTTTCCTTTCCACTTGGTTTTTAAACAAAGGATTCCCTGTAAACCTTCGTAAACACACATATACCCAAACTTACCCCAATGCACCTGTTCACAGAACTCTATTTAAAAAAAAAACCAAACCTAAAAATCAAAACCCTGCCAGAAAGCGGGGAAGTTTTTTAGTTTAACACAAAGATGCTACGGTGTCAGACACAGCTGAAGACCAAATGCGTACCGTGCTTTGCCCAGGTTCCGACCCCCAGCTGTAGCAGCAGTTCCCCATCCTCACTATTTCTGAAGGGATATTGCTTCCCTCTCATCACAGGAATTAAGAGAAAGCAGAGTAAATGTAATACGAAAGAGGAAAGCATTTAAATACTGTCTAGCAAAACAGGTTAGCAGGCTGGTCTCCTCTAGGCTACACAAAGAAAAGTTTCCTGATGTAAAAAAGGCAGCAGTAACAAATACTGTTAACTTCAGGCAGCAAATGCTGCATAGCAGTTTCTAACTACGTGAGCTATGCCAGCATGAAATAGGCACCTTTAATTTATTCAGCTGAAACTTAAAGCATTTAAATACTGTCTAGCAAAACAGGTTAGCAGGCTGGTCTCCTCTAGGCTACACAAAGAAAAGTTTCCTGATGTAAAAAAGGCAGCAGTAACAAATACTGTTAACTTCAGGCAGCAAATGCTGCATAGCAGTTTCTAACTACGTGAGCTATGCCAGCATGAAATAGGCACCTTTAATTTATTCAGTTGAAACTGTACATTTTCTACTGTCCAGAGAAGGGAAAGAGAAAGCAGAAAACAGATCACCATAGAAACTGGGTTACTACAGACAGCTGAACCTTCCACATGACATAACCCTACAGATATTAAAGTCATCCTATGAGCGCTAAGCTGTAGCTTTTCATCTCCAGCATCATTGCCCAGCCTTAAATCCAAAGAAAACACCTGGTAAAAAGAACGGGTGGGAGGAAAGAGAGAGATGTTCCTAATTATAAGCACTGAATCATTTCACAACATCCTCATCTCACTAATTTAGCAGAATGATTTGCAAAATCAGATTTTCATTCTATCTTTTATATAATCAGTTGATGTTAAAATCCCATCGCTGCCTAGCCTTTAGTGGGATCCAACCCTGTAGCAGAAAACAAAGCACCACCGCTGGCAGAAACAGGACCGAGGGCCTTGTCTTGGGAAACACCTCACTCTAGTATGTCTACTATCCATCCCTCGTTATTTACTAGTACATGAAATCAAGTTTATGACTACATTAAAGTAAGACTAAAATACAATAAACTTCTAGAGGCACTGATTTACAAATCAGCCTTCTAAAAAAGGGAAGGAAATTCTAGCCTAAAAATGCACTGAAATGACAATAAAAATTATGGCAAGAAACAAATTAACTTTACTGAAATTGTGCCTGATTATGATCAATGAATATATTACTCTTTGCAATAGTTCAATGTAAATTTTGAACCACCAGAATAAAACTGCTCACAGGGGAAATAACAGCACAATTTACTTAAGGAAAGGCAGTGAATGACATTTTAGGTAAATACTGTTACCCTTCACGATAACCCAAGCTTACCGATAGCGTCACTTGCACTTTGCATTCCAGTACTGATTTGGCTCTAATCAACTTAGCTGTGCTATCCAGGTAACAACGCTGTCCCTTCTCTGCGGGTACGTTTCTGCCTCACCACTGATGACCTCCCCCTGTCCCGACCGGAGACCTCGGGCGGGAAGAGGCACGAGGAGGATGTGCAGCCCACCCTCCCACCCTGCGTCAAAGCCACACCATCACGCTGGCACTCTGGGATGGAGACAGCAGCCAGCCACCTCCAGCCGAGCATTCACAGGACCACCACTTGCTCTAAACGAGTTTAAAAAAAAATCAGAATGAAAACGCAAAGCACGCAGGTGAGATACCCTTGAATCCAGGAGGAAAACAAATAATTAAATGCGTATTGACAGGACTATTTCGAAACTCAGTTTCTTGCCTAGACTCTCTTCCAGCCTCGGCAGACTGAGGTAAAAACCTCCAAAATCACATGGAAGTGTGGAATCGCCATACTCTGTTCAAGGAAAGACAAGCTGGGCTGCTGAAAGGCAATGGCTTAGTGATCTCTATGTAGTGGCTCTAAAAGAGTTCACAGCAGAAAAAAGTACAGGGAGAAGTTTTCATTTTTCACTGGCAGGACAGAAAGCTAGCTGTATTATCACAGTTTTATATAATAATAAAATATAATAGGAAATTGCAGTATTCTCTCATACCTCATGATTTCATCTTAGATCACATGAAGAAATCAGCAGACTATAATAATTATCTATCAAATGAGACCATATGACTCACAAAGCCTCTCTTCTGAGATATTAACCTCTTGAAGTACTAATTGACATTGCTGACAGAACGTAATTAGCAATGCAAGCGGCTCAGCAGTCGCTTCAGCAGTCAAATAATTTTCCACTTCCATTGCACAATCACAAATACTGCAGAAGGACATACAGCTATCTTCCCAGCTTAACAGCTCTTTTGATAAGAGCTGAAAGAGTTCATGAAATGATCTACATCCCAAAAAGAAAAAGGAAATTTCAACTCATAAAAAGCTGTCCCTCGTTTCCCAGCAAGATCTACCCATACACGTGAACTTGTACGATTTTCACTTCAGCAGAGATCATCTATTTATTTACTTACAGACAGCCTCAAAAAAGTCTTTCAGGTGTTAACCATGAAAACCTTACGAGA